GCACATCCCTGGGCACTATGGGTAATTTAGCACGGCCATTCCACCCTAACCTGCACATCCTTGGGCACTATGGGTAATTTAGCATGGCCAATCCACCCTAGCCTGCACATCCCTCGGCACTATGGGTAATTTAGCATGGCCGACCCACCCTAACCCGCACATCCCCGGGCACTATGGGTAATTTAGCATGGCCAATCCACCCTAACCTGCGCATCCCTGGGCTCTATGGGTAATTTAGCATGGCCAATCCATCCTAACCTGCACATCCCTGGGCACTATGGGTAATTTAGCACAGCCAATCCATCCTAACCTGCACATCCCTGGGCACTATGGGTAATTTAGCACGGCCAACCCACCCTAACCCGCACATCCCTGGGCACTATGGGTAATTTAGCACGGCCAATCCACCCTAACCCGCACACCTTTGGACTGTGGGAGGAGACCGGAGCACCCGGAGGAAACCCACGCAGACACGGGGAGAATGTGCAAACTCCACACAGACAGTTGCCCGAGGGTGGGATCGAACCCGGGTCCCTGGCACTGTGAGGCAGCAGTGCTAACCACTGAGCCACAACCCCCGAAAATAGCCCCAGCCTATTCAGCCTCTCCCTGTAGCTCAAACCCTCCAAACCTGGCAACTTCCTTATAAATTCTTTTCTGAACCCTTTCAAGTTTAATAACGTCCTTCCTATAAGAGGGCGACCAGAACTGGACACAGTATTCCAGAAGTGTCAAACTCGTACATTCTGGTTCATGGTGAGGCCTACATTTTGGGTGATTGGTAAAGGTTAGGGTTAAGTTTTGGGTTAGCTGATAGGGAGAAACTGCTCCCATTTGTAAAAGGAACCAGAATGAGAGGGGCACAGAGTGAAAGCAACGTGTGAAAGGGTGAGGTGAGGGGGAATAACATTTCCACCCAGCGAGAGGTTCGGGTGTTGGGAATGTGTTGGAGGCAGGTTCAGCTGAGGCACTAGAGAGGGGCATTGGATGGTTATTTTGATACGAACACCTTGCAGGGATATGGGGAATAAAGCACTCAGTGATAGAACCAGTGCAGCCACGATGGGCTGAATGGCCTCGTCTGTTACATATCAATTCTGTGGTTCCTCTCCAACATTGCTCAAACCTTCAAGTATAGGGGTTGGGACATCACATTGAGTTGTACGGGACGTTGGTGAGACCTCTTCTGGAGCACTGTGTCCAGTTCTGTTCTCCCAGTTATAGGAAGGATATTATTAAACTGGAGAGGGTCCAGAAAAGATTTACCAGGATGTTGCTGGGAATGGAGGATGTGAGATATAGAGAGAGGCTGGGACTTTTTTCGCTGGAGTGTAGGAGATTGAGAGGTTTATAAAATCACGAGGGGCATAGATAGGGTGAATGGGAGGTGTCTTTTCCCTTGGGTAGCGGGGTTTCAAGACTTTTTAAGGTAAGAGGAGAAAGATTTAAAAAAGACATGAGGGGAAACTTTTTTTACGCAGTTTGTGTGTGGAATGAACTTCCAGAGAAAGTGGTGGATGTGGGTACAGCTACAACGTTTAAAAGACATTTGGATAAGTACATGAACAGGAAAGGTTTGGAGGGATATGGGCCAGGAGCAGGCAGGTGGGACTCGGTTAGTTTGGGATTATGGTCAGCATGGACTGGTTGGATGAAAGGGTCCACTTCTGACTCTATAACATCGATTTGTCCTCCTAAGTGTTCCTTTCTAACGCAGCGCTCCTAACGTACCTCAGAGCTGTGTGTGAATGAAATATCTACCAGAGCATACACCAGCCCCTTTTTAACTTTTCAAACACAAGCACCTTTATATCTTGTACAAGTTAATTGTTCTACAATGATCGCTGAAAGGTACTAGGGGTAAGAAAAAGACATTATGCCACAAAATCCATCGACAAATGTTGATATGGGGTAACTACGGGGATGAAAGTGATCATACCTTTTCAGGACCTGGTAACGGGGTTAGGGGGACCACAGTCGCTTGCGGATTTCTCCCGAGAAAAATGGAAACTCCAAGTCGGGTTGAACAGACGCAGTCGAATAGTTGCAGGTTCTGCCCTTAGTGTCACTGAGCAGACCAAGTTTCTGGGAGTGAGTGAGGGGTCATCCTCGGACGCCGATGGTGTAGGATCTGAGCGGCTTGGCTCAGTCTAGCAGTCATTCCTGTAGTTTAGTATCCATCTCTCTTGTGTGCAAGGCCAGAAATCACGCGACACCAGGTTATAGTCCAGTAGGTTCATTTGAAAACACAGGCTTTTGGAGCGTAGCCCCTTCTTCGGGTAAAGACTTCACCCATTATGGGGCTATGCTCCTAAAGCTTGTGTTTTCAAATAAACCTGTTGGACTATAACCCGGCGTCATAAGATTTCTGACCTTGTCCATCCAGTCCAACACTGACACCTCCTCATCTCTTGTGTGTGAACGGGCCTATTGTTAGTCTGGGGTTAGATGAACCAGCCACCCTCCCAGCGCTGTCTTTAAACCATGAGACCATGAGATATGGGAGCAACATTAGGCCGCTCGGCCCATCAAGTCTGCTGCACCATTCGATCATGGCTGATATGTTCCTCAACCCCATTCTCCAGCCTTCTCCCTCCATCCCTTCACTAATCAGGAACCTATCTATCTCTGTCTTAAACACACTCAATGATTTGCCCTCCCCAGCCCCCTCTGTGGGAATGTGTCCCACAGATTCACCCCCATCTGGCTGAAGAAATTCCTCCCCGTCTCAGCTCTAAAGGGTCGTCCCTTCACCCTGAGGTTGTCCCCTCGGGTCCCAGTCTCTCCCACTGGTGGAGACATCTTCTCCATGTCAGCTCTATCCAGGCCCCTCAGTATTCTCTAAGTTTCAATCAGATACTGTCTCATCCTTCTGAACTCCATCGAGTGCAGAGCCAGGCTCCTCATAAGACAAGCCTTGGGATCACTCTTGTAAACCTCCACTTAACACCGCGCCCCCTCTCCAAGGCTGGCACATCCTTCCTTAGATACGGGGCCCAAAATTGCTTACAATATTCCAAACGCAGTCTGACCAGAGCCTTATACAGCCTCAGCAGTACACCCCTGCTCTTGTAACCCAGCCTTCGTGAAACAAATTGCATTTGTGTAACTGCCAACTGAACCTGCACGTTATCACACGAAGAGAATCTTGAACTAGGACACTAATGTCACTGTGTCCTTCAGATTTTTGAAGCTTTAACCCGCTCAGAAAATAGTCTGTGCCTCTATTCTCCCGACCAGAGGTGGTCGTAGCCTGGTACTTTCTCACACCATGTTCTATCAGGCCCCTTTCTTGACCTACTCTCCCAGGCAGCTAAATGCTCTGAAATACTGACTGAATCAGTTCCGTTAATCTCAAAGCGGCAACTGCGGACCTTGGGAAACCCATTGTCCCTGAAAGCAATGGCTCTCCCATCTCCTGTCAAACAGTTCAGAACCTTTGACCCTTGCGAGGCTTGGTCAGAAGCCTGTGTTGTTGACTGTGAGAGAACGCGGTATGGTGGTCTGAACTGTCATCAGTGGGCACAGTTTTGGCAGCAGTTCAATCCGCAAGAGAGGCTGTGTGGCTTTGGATCCCAACAGTTACAAACTCAGCGATGGTAGAAACTGATGCGTCCGACATCAAGATGTGGCCAGCTGAGAAAGGATGGGTGGATGTTACCGTTAGAAGGCAGTATTTGTGCTTGGCTATCATCCCATCAGCATCCAAGTCATCATTTCAGCCAACTCCAGCGAGATGCCACCACCAGACACATGTTCCCCTCCCCTCCCATGTCCACCTTCCGCAGGGACTGTTCCCTCCAGGACACCCTGGTCCACACTTCCTTCACCCCCTCAGCCCTACGGCACCTTCCCCTGTAACCGGTGAAGGTTCAACACCTGCCCATTTACCTCCTCCCTCCCCACTATCCAAGGGCCCAAACATACTTTCCAGGTGAAGGAACACTTCACCTGCACTTCCCAGAATCTAGTCTACTGCATTCGCTGCTCACAGTGTGGTCTCCTCTACATTAGGGAAACGAAGCATAGGCTGGGTCACCGCTTCACAGAACATCTACGTTCTGCTCACAAAAAAGACTACATGTGGCCTGCCACTTTAACGCACCACCCTGCTACCTGGCCAACATCTCTGTCTCTGGTTTGCTGCAGTGTTCCTGCGAAGCTCAGCACAAGGTGGAGGAACAACACCTCATTTTCCGCTTGGGGACCCTACAGCCCTCCAGACTCAATACCGAGTTCAATAATTTTAGGAACCGAAAGAACTGCGGATGCTGTAAATCAGGAACAAAAACAGAAGTTACTGGAAAAGCTCAGCAGATCTGGCAGCATTTGTGAAGGAAAAAAAATCAGAATTAATATTTCGGGGCGGGTGACCCTTCCTCAGAACTGATGGTGATAATTTTAGTGCCTAAACTCTCCCATGTCCTACTCCGTACCCCAAACACCAGGCCTTGTTATCACATAGCCTGCCGTTACACACCCCCTTCTTGTTAGTCACTAACAGTCCCTTTTGCTCCTATGATGCTGCTCGGCCTGCTGTGTTCATCCAGCTCTGCACCTTGTTGTCTCGGATTCTCCAGCATCTGCAGTTCCTACTATCCCCATCAATACCTTTTCACTGCCCTAGCCAGATTGTTATCTACTCCTTTGTCTGCCCAGCTGTTCTTCTATCACTGTTGGCTCTATCCCCACCTATCATTTACTCCTTACACCTCCCCATCTTCTGTATATAAACCAACATTTTCCCAGCTACCATCAGGAAGGGTCACCGGACCTGAAACGTTAACTCTGATTTCTCTCCAAAGACACTGCCAGACCTGCTGAGCTTTTCCAGCAACTTCTGTTTTTGCTGTCATGGTTGTAAGTGAAGTATTTGGAGGTCGGGGACGGCACAGGTTTAGATACGGAGTAAGGAGAGTGGCAAAAGCAGAAACTCCTGGAAAAGCGCAGCGGAATCTCAGGACTGTTGTGTTTCTGTTGTGTTCAGGGATGTGCAGGACAGCGGGACTTTTAGCGGCTGACAACGGGAAGGCGTAAGACGATGGCATTTTGGTTTCAGGGAAAGTGATCTCAGACATTCCCCAGTTGGACAATCACACTCTGGAAGATACATATCTCTCCCCAGTCCTGAAGCCTTTCCTCCCCCCTCCATGGGCTCCCCCCCTCCTCAACACATCAACAGGACCTCACCCAGACTAAGTTGGAAGGAAGGAGGAAGTTAACAATCTTAAAATTGGAGCCAGGAGGATGCAATACATGGGCTCAAAGTGAAATAAAGAACATAGAACTGTACAGCACAGTACAGGCCCTTCGGCCCACGATGTTGTGCCGAACTTTTACCCTAAACCTAAGGTCTATCTAACCTCCACCCCTACCTTATACTATCATCCATACACCTGTCTAATAGCTGCTTAAATGCCCCTAATGAGGCCGACTTCACTACCCTCTCCGGCAATGCATTCCACGCCCCTACCACGCTCTGAGTAAAGAACCTACCTCTGACGTCTCCCTAATGTCTACCTCCACTCACTTTAAAACTATGTCCCCTCGTAATAGCTACCTCCACTCTTGGAAAAAGTCTCTGGCTGTCCACTCTATCTATACCTCTGATCATTTTGTACACCTCTATCAAGTCACCTCTCATCCTTCGTCGTTCTAAAGAGAAAAGCCCTAGCTCTCTCAACCTTTCCTTGTAAGACCTTCCCTCCATTCCAGACAACATCCTGGTAAATCTCCTCTGCACTAAAGAGGAGAAATATCTGGTAGGAAATATTAATCATAATATCATGTTCAGTTTGAGAGTGAGAGACCTGGATCAGAAACAGCTGCACTAAACATAAATAAAGGTCATCGTAGAGTTTTAGGGCAGAATTCCCAAGGAAGGGATTTAGCAGAAAAAGTGATTGATGGTCTATGTCAGATGTTTAAGAAAATAAATTCAGCAGTGCGCAAGAATGATTCTTAGAAGCAAACAGGTAAGCTAAATAAAGTAAGGATAGTATCAAATTTATAATGTGGTTAGTGGTGAGTAAAAGGATTGGGAAACATTTTAAAAAGAAAAAGAACTATGACTAATGGAATAATATGTCAGTTTTGGCCACCCAGCGATAAGAAGGATATTATTAAGCTGGAGAAGGTTCAGAAGAGATTTACCAGGATGTTGCCAAGTATGGAAGGTTTGAGTTATAAAGAAAAGTTGGATAGGCTGGGACATTTTTTTACTGGTGTGTAGGAGTTTGAGGGTTGACCTCTCAGATGTTTATAAAATCATGAGGGGTACAGATAGGGTCTTTTCCCTAGGGTGGGGGATTTCAAGACTAGGGGGGACATATTTTTTAGGTGAGCAGAGAGAGATTTAAAAAAGACATGAGGAGCAAGTTTTTTTACACAGAGAGTGGTTTGCATGTGGAATGAACTGCCTGAGGAAGTGGTGGATGAGGGTACAGTTACAACGTTTAAAAGACATTTGGATGAGTACATGAATAGGAAAGGTTTGGGAGTATATGGGCCAGGAGCAGGCAGGTAGGACTAGTTCAGTTAGGCATTATGTTCAGCATGGACTGGTTGGGCCGAAGGGTCTGTTTCCCTGCTGTGTGACTCAATGACCCTTTAACTAGCAAACAATATTAAAGCAGACTGTAAGAACATCTTTGTATATATAAAAAGGGAGGCCAAAGTGAACGTTGGCCTCTTAGAAAATGGGGCTGGGGAAATAATAATGGGGAACAAGGAAATGGCAAGGGACGTGAAGAAATCACAGTTGAAGACACTAATAGCATTCCAAAGATAATCAATAAGGCTGAAGGGAGAGAGGAAATCGTTACACTAACAATTCCTGGAGAAAAAGTGGTGGAGAACCTACTGGAATAACAGGCTATTATGTCCCTTGTCCTGAGGGGTTACACAGTAGGATGTTAAAATAAGTTGCGACAGATACAGAGAATGCACTGGGCGTAATCTTCCAAGAATTCTTCGATTCTGAAAAAGTCCCAGAGGATTGGAAAGCCGCCAGTGTAACACCATTATTCAAATAAGGAAGGAAACAATGTGCCGACAGCTATAGACCAGCTGACTTAACAGGAAAATATCAGTCTTTGGTCGAGAGGGTGAAGAGCATCAGGTTCCTCGGAATGACAATAACCCAACCAGCTGTCCTGGACTTCCCACCTGTACCGCTCGTAAACAAAGCTTTTCACTGTGTTTCAGTACGTGTGACAATAAAATCAATCAAAAGAAAAATCAAAATGAAGGGGGGAACAGCAGAGCATTTAGAAATGCATCATTTGATCAGGCATGGCTTTATGGAGGGACGCCTGATAAACGTGCACCTTTCTTCAAAAACCGAAAGAAACACAGACTCTCTAAATCAGGAACAAAAACAGAAGTTGCTGGAAAAGCTCAGCAGGAAGGGTCACTGGACCCGAAACGTTAACTCTCATCTTTCTCTTCACAGAACTGCTGAGCTTTTCCAGCAACTTCCTGTTTTTTGTCCACATTTCTTTGAGGAGGTAATCATAGTAGCCCTACAGTGTGGAAGCAGGCCACTGGCCCATTGAGTCCATACTGGCCCTCTGAAGAGTATCCTACCCTGTGTTTCCCACGGCTAACCCTCCCATCTTTGGACTGGGAGAGGAAACAGGAAATAAGACCCACATGTGACAGAGTGAGAACGTGCAAAGCACCACACAGACAGTTGCCCGAGGCTGAAATTGAACCTGGGTCCCTGGTCCCGTGAGGCAGCAGTGCTAACCACTGAGCCACTGTACCATCCCTCAAGTAGGATATTAGCATACATAGAGGATTGGCTAACTAATAGAAAACAAGGAATGGGGATAAAGGGGCCATTTTCAGCATGAAAACCAGGAACTAGTGGAGTTCCACAGAGATTGCAAATGGGGGCACAAAAATTCTTCGCTTTATAAAGAGGAAGAAGGCACTATCGCTGAGTTGATAGCTGATAGAAAAATAGATGGATAGCCAAGTGGTGGGGATGACTCAAAGAGGGACACAGCCAGGTTAATGAAAACACTTGGCCCATGGAACGTAATGTGAAGTGATACCCATTAACAAAAAGAACAGAGGAGCTGAATGTTATCCAAATGGAGGAAGACGAAGAGTGGGGTTGGATTGGCCATGCCAAAATGCCCCGTTGTGTGTTCAGGGGTGTGCAGGCTGGATGTGGGTTAACTGCGGGAAACATGGGATTGCGCGGATAGGACGGAATGCTCTTCGGAGGGTCGGTGCAGACTTGGTGGGCCGAATGGCCTCCACACGCGCTGTCGGGATTCCATGATTCAGAGGGATTTGGCCATTCTCATCCGTGAATCACAAGATGAAAGTTAGTTTCCAAGTTCAGCAGGTTATATATAGGGAAGGCAAGTGGAATGCTGGCTTTTATCTCACAGGGAATGGAGTTCAAGATGAATGCTAAAACTATGCAAGGCATTTAGGCTACGCCCAGACGACTTGGTGTGATTTTGGTCCGCTTATCTAAGAAAAGGTGTGCTAGCTTTGGAGACAGTCCAGAGCAAATTCAATGGGTTTATACCAGTTAATGGAGGGACTGTCTTATGGGGAGTTGCTGAGTCGGTTAGTCCTGGACACGTCAGAAAAATGAGAGACAACTTCACTCAAGTGTACTAGATTCTCAGAAGGATTTGATGGGGCAGGCGCAGATAAGCAGCTCATCAGACCCCCAGCTGAAACCCTGTGAAGTGTTTTTGGGCGCCAAATCTGAGGGAAAAGAGATCAGCGTTACAGGAGGCTCACTTGGCTAATTTTTGGGAAGAGGATGAGTAAGTTGGTCCTCGACTCAATAGAGTTTAGGAGAATGATACAGACAAACCTTATTGAAACAGACAAGAGGGGGCTTGACAGGGTGGATATGGAAAGGTTATTTCCCCTTGTTTGGGAGAGTCTAGGAGCAGAGGGCATTCGCTCAGGATAAGGGGTCACTAATTGAAGACAAAGATGGGGAGGGATTTCTTCTCTCAGAGGGGAGCGAACCTGTGGAATTCTTTACCTCAGAGGGTTGTTGAGGCTGGGTCATTAAGGATATTCAAGGCAGAGACAGATCTTTAGGGATTCAAGGAAAAGGCAGGGAAGTGGGAGTTGAGGATGATCAGATCAACCGCGGCCATGGAGGGGACTCGATGGGCTGAATGGTCTTCTGTCTTCTGCTCTGACGGTCATCCTTATATCCAATGGCTTTGTTTGGTCGCATGAGGGGATTGGAAATCTGGAAGCCCCTCCTCCCGTTTCAAGGAAAGTTGTCAAGACCGAGAGAGGAGAATTGAACGCTCCAAAAATGGGAGTGGACAACTTTTGTCGGGCCAACGCAACGAGGGATGATCGACCAGGTTACACCAGTTGGTTCAAAATGCAGCTGGGCCAAGATCGATCACGGGGGTGGAGGTGGGGTGTGGTGTGGGGGGGGTTTGTGGGCGTTGGGTTTGAGCAGGGCCTGGGGGCTGACGAATGGCCTTCGCTTCTTCATGACCTGCTTCGATGCCTAATGACCTGGAGAAGAGGTTGAGATCACAAGTCCCACCATCGCCAGCTCCAGAGCGGAATCCACGACAACCCGATGGAACAGGAAGAGGCCGCCCGGCCCGTCCTCCTTTGGCCAGCTCCCCGAAAGTTCTCGCTAATTCGGTTCTGCGTACCCCTCTGCTCTTTCTCGCATGGGCCCCGCGAGCGTTTGTCCCTGGAGAAGGGTCACGTGACCTGAGACGTTAGCTCTGATTTCTCCCTCCACAGATGCTGCCAGACCTGCTGAGCTTTTCCAGCAACTTCCGCTTTTGTTTCTGTTTTACAGCATCTGTTGTCCCTTCAATGTTCTTTCATTTTCGTTCGATCGATGGCTGTCTGTCCCTCCAGAAATATTTCTCCCCTCTTCTTGAAGGTTCGTATTGAACCCTGCTTCCTTTCGGTTAGCACATCCCAGAGCACCAACGACATCAAGAAAAAAATACAAAATTCTCCTCCTCTCTGGTCCCTTCCCCAATTTCCTTCGACCCGTGTCCCTCTTGTTATCA